ACCCTCCCTCCTCCTGCTAAAAAAAGCCTGGTGACCCCTCTCCACAAACTCAAGTTCCACCATGAATGGTGTTGATATTACAAGTCCCCGTGTCCAATAGAACAAGCCCCGAGGGTTTTCTGGAATCTATCTACACGGGAATAGAGGCAGGTCTTTCTGCCTAGAGCTGAGTGGGTCCATACAGCCTTGGTTAGCACCATGCTGCCGCGCCATCCACTTACATACACCTACACAAACCCCTTTATCCCTGCTGACCAGTCGAGCCGATTCATAGAGGCCCTACAGGACAGTGTAGAACCGTGGGCTTCCTAGGCTGTATATCTTGACTAGAATAGAAAGCTTCGCTTTTTTTTAAAAAGCCGCTGGTGGGATCCAATTGTTAACTGGATTGTTAACAGCCCACGTGAAACCCACTGCACTAGGAAGACTCCTTCATGTCCACCCGAAATGGGAAGGGGAGGAGCTTACACTGGGCCAGGCGGGCGATCCGGGCGTCCAGGGTGCGAGGCGGCCGGCGCAGCGGGGTCCGGGCGGGTCCCAGGCGCTGGCTAAGGAATAGGCCATCTCGACACATCCAGACAGAGAGCACCGAGCTGCAAAGCACCGAGGCCAAGGCCGCCGCCTTCCAGCGCTGCATCCTCGGCCTGTGGGCGCGGGCACGGTCAGTCCATCAGCAAACGGGGCTCTGGGCACACAGTTGGGGGGTGTGTGTGTAGGAACCTGACCTTGAACAACTCCTGGCTTAATGGTAAAAAATAACGGAGACACGATTCACCAAGGAACCACTCAACAAGATCGGGAAAATCCCGGTGGAAGAGAAACCGACCATGGAGCCGAGACTTTTAGAATGGGAAGGATTGGCCAGGCTGAGGAGGGGCACGGGATCTCGGTGCGGGGCGTGGGGGGGCCACCAGTGCAAAGGCCCGGAGGCAGGAAGCAGCAGGGCCGTTCCCAGGGAACAGCCAGCAGCAGGTCGCAGTGCAGGGAGGTGAGGCCATACCGGCAGGGGGCGCTGCGGGACAAAGGTTCGGGGCAGGGCCGGTGCTTGAGCTGCGTCTGGCGGCGGGACCTCTGTCGCTTAGATACTGATGTCCTCGGAGGACTGCCTGCCCCTCTCAGGGCCCCGGTTTCCCCTCCGGATGGATAAACTAATGACCAGCGGTGGACAGCGCTGCAGTGAAGCTGCCCGGACCTTGCGTCCCACCTCCAGGCCTTTCCACCGCGACGCCTCTCTTCGCCCATCCCCTCCCCCTCCCTTTCTCCCCGCTCAGCTCCTGCATGAGACGTCCCCGGGCGGGCGCAGGCGAGGGGCCCCCCGAAGCCCTCTGCCGGGCCGCGTGGGGCTCCCTGCACA